TTTAAAAATGCACATTAGAATTCCTTTTAATACTGAATACTCTTACTATCCTTAAAGTGATTCAGTTTTTAGAAATTTAGTTTACACACAATTATTTAGAAGCAAAAGCAACTGTTTAGGAGTGGAAATTGGGTGTATTTCAGAATCTTCTCCTCTGTGTCATATTTTTACCTCTGAGCAGCTTCTTTCTCCTTCCTTGCTCCACAGTTCATAAAGCACTAGAGTGATAATTACCAGGGCTTGCATAAAACATTTATTCTTCAAAATGCTTTAAATTTATATTATCTATTTTTGTCCTTTCAGCTTGGAATTAGGTAATGCCAATGGTGGAAATTAAATTTTACAGTTGAGAAACAACGTAAACCATTTTACTCATAATCCCATAGTTAATGGCAGGACAGACATAATTGTGAGTGTCTAGAGCAGGGGTGGGCAAACTTTTTGACTGGAGGGCCACAATGGGTTCTTAAACTGGACCGGAGGGCCGGAACAAAAGCATGGATGGAGTGTTTGTGTGAACTAATACCAATTCAAAGTAAACATCATTACATAAAAGGGTACGGTCTTCTTTTTTTTTAGTTTTATTCATTTCAAACGGTCCAGATCCGGCCCGTGGGCCGTAGTTTGCCCACGGCTGGTCTAGAGACTTAACCATCCAGCTACTGCCATTAGTGTCTCTCTGGATCATTGCTTTTAGGTGGTACAAAAGGCTCAGGAGTCCATACATAGTGACTTGGTTTTGAACTTAAAATAAAGAGTTAGGAGCCCTTTAATAATTATAACACTGTTCCTCGGGGCTGTAACCTAAGAAGCATTTTTAGTTTCTGGTGAATAGTATGTAAATGTACAAGAAAGATCTGGAGGCAAATAGTCTCATCATTTGAGGAGTAATATTTTTTTCTCTACCTGAGTGAGACCATCTGAGTGTATTATTAAAAAACAAAAAGTTGCCAAGACCGGTTTGGCTCAGTGGATAGAGCGTCGGCCTGCGAACTGAGGGGTCCCAGGTTCGGTTCCGGTCAAGGGCATGTACCAGGGTTGCGGGCACATCCCCAGTGGGAGATGTGCAGGAGGCGGCTGATCGATGTTTCTCTCTCATCGATGTTTCTAACTCTCTATCTCTCTCCCTTCCTCTCTGTAAAAAATCAATAAAAATATATTAAAAAAAAAAAAAAAAAGTTATGCCCTGGCTGGTGTGGCTCAGTTGGTTTGAGCATCATCCCGTACACCAAAAAGTGGCAAAACAGGGTCCCAAATGCACATACCTAGGTTGCGGGTCCAGGTTATGCACAAGAGGCAGCCAGTTGATGTTTCTCTCTCACATTGATGATGTCCCCCCCTCCCCATTCCTCTCTAAAAACAAACAACAACAAAAACAATCCACAAAAAGTTACAAAAATGAAAGCCAGTCTATGATGTGTTGGAGAGGGAAGAAAGCTCAAATAAGACAAGACTTTCCTTATTGTGGACTTGGTATCAGTTAGGTTTTTCAAAACAGAAGACTTTATATTATATACAGTGTTGATTAGGCCCATATTGTCAATGTCTAACAAATCTACTTTCTCAATATAACATGCCTTATTTCCTCTTTCTAGAATGCATCTAAATTTTTAACTCCTTTCCTACTTGAAGTGTTGTTGGTGATTTAAAACAAAACAGTTGACCCTTGAGCAATGTGGGGGTCAAGGGCCCTGATGACCTACACTGTCCAAAATCCATGTGTAACTTTTGACTCATTTAACTACTAATAGCCTGCTTGACTCATTTAATTACTAACTACCTGAGGCCTTACCGATAACATAAGCAGTTGATTAATACCTTATTTTGTATGTTATATGTAATAATGTTATATTCCTATAATAAAGTAATCCAGGAAAGAAGTTACTAAGAAAAACAAAGATGTTGTTCAAAAATCAACTATATGTTTAGGGTGACAGATACTTTCAGACTAAAAATAAAGCAGTGGTTCTCATTAACTAAGGTCAGAGAGAATGTATTTTTGCCTCTAGTTTGAAAAGTTCCTGAAGATTCCCTTTATGCTCACAAAATGCATTGAAATTCACTTTCTACTACATATAGTAAAATACAATAATGGCCAGTGCAAATTCAGGTAATTAAGTGGGCTTCATCTGTTATCCTAAGGCAGTGGCTCTCAACCTTCCTAATGCCGAGACCCTTTAATACAGTTCCTCATGTTGTGGTGACCCCCAACCATAAAATTATTTTTGTTGCTACTTCATAACTGTAATTTTTCTACTGTTATGAATCGTAATGTAAATATCTAATATGCAAAATGTATTTTCATTGTTACAAATTAAACATAATTAAAGCTATAGTGATTAATCACAAAAAAATATAATTATATATGTGTTTTCCAATGGTCTTAGGCAACCTCCGTGAAAGGGTCGTTCGACCCCCAGAAGGGTTGCGACCCACAGGTTGAGAACCGCTGCCCTAAGGGAAGGATCTTGGGGAAGTATAGATAGAACCACGATATTCAGAAACAGACAATGAGTGCTCTCATTTTACTCCAGGAGGCATTGTAGATCACATAGTATGAGTTTCCTATCTAATAAGTAAGGAAAACTTAAAAGTAAAACTGAGCTGCTTTTTTTTTTTTTTTAATATATTTTTTACATAGAGGAAGGGAGAAGGATAGAGAGTTAGAAACATCGATCAGCTGCCTCCTGCACACTCCTTACTGGGGATGTGCCCTCAACCAAGGTACATGCCCTTGACCGAAATTGAACCTGGGACCCTTCAGTCCGCAGGCTGACGCTCTGTCCACTGAGCCAAACCAGTTAGGGCCTGAGCTGCTTTTTAATTGCTCTTATTTTTTCATCAGCCTTTCATGAGTAAAGCTCACCAGTTCTCTTCCTGAGATAGATGCAGTATAAGGGAAGGAGAACTTTTTGGAATCAGAGGACTTAGGTTCAAGTTCTAATTCTTCCATTTACTGGTTTAAGTTGTTTAAATTTCTGAGCTGCCTTGTAGCTTAGGGGATGGTAATTGCCTTGAATGAGATGGGTTAATATTGTTTTGTTTCTATCAAAGTATCCTGTATGTATAAATATAACCGGTTGTAAAGGATTTCTCCTGGTAATGGATGAGTTAACCAGTTTATGATTGACAGCTGTGGGGAAAGGGATAAAATAGGAATAGAGAATAGATATTTTACCTTATCTTGAAATAATTTCATACCTGTAGAAAAGTTTTAAGAATGATACAAAGAACTTCCATATAGCCTTTACCCAGATTCTCTAGTTGTTAACATTTTACTACTTGTTTTATCACTCATTGGGATAGAATGTTCAGCTAACAATTGAGTGTTTACAACAAGTCAAGCATGCTTTTACTTGCCTTATCTCAAGCTACCAACCCATTAGTATATGGGTACTGTTATCACCATGTATAGAAAGAAAAATTTACAGGGGGGTCAGCCAGTTGTCTGAGATCCCCTAGCAGGTAAATGGCAGAGATTTGACAGGAATATCCATGTTTTTCACCACTTTTCTCTACTAGTAGATCTAGAGACTTACATGTCGATGTGACAAAGACACATCGATTGGTTGCCTCCTGCACACGGCCCAGCCAGGGCTAGGAATCAAGTCTGCAGCCAAGGTATGGCCTTTGACTGGAATTGAACCTGGGGCCCTTCAGTCCTCAGGCCGATGCTCTATCCACTGAGCCAAACCAGCTAGGGCATCTAGAGCTTTTTAACTAGAAATCAATGTTTGATATAGTATTGCTGACTAAATGTAATTCATTTAAACAAAGATAAAGATTGAAGTTTGTATGCAGAATTTGCTGTTGAAGTCATTGGTGGGGTGAGAATGCACTCCTTTTCCCACACCTAGCTTCTGTATGAAATAGATAGAATGGCCATAACTTGATTGGCGTTCTGTTTTGCAAGGGAGTAAATCAAAAGAGTTTTTTTTTCTTGGGCAAAGTATCCAGAGGTGCTGGACTGTTCCTTGCCCTAATCACCCCCTGAGATCAAGATTCTTGACTCCTTTGAGCATATTGCTTCTAGGAGACCAGGGAAGATGACAACAAGATTTGATCTTTTATTATCTCTGCTTTCTTTGGAGTTAAATTTCCACCCTTGTTTTGCTCAGAGGAATCTCTCCCCTCAGTTTTAATAGCAGTAGGTTTTCTAGAACATGGAATTGAGATTGTAAATTTTTACTTCATGGGCCAGATGTGGCTGGCATGTTCGTGTTTTGGGCTTGCCTAGTGTTTACTTTTTTTCTTTTTTCAATTGGAAGCCAACATTTAAAAGCTAAAGGATTTCACATAAAAACCCAGCTTTCAGCTCTTCTTTAAAAGACCGAAAAAAAAAAAAAAAAAGGAAAGAAATGATAATCCTGGGTCCATAAAGAGTAGACCAGCCATGGATTACTACTGTCCCCACCAGCCTATTTCAAACCTGGCCTCCTGTAAACACTTGAATTTTCAGCTGCAGACCTTGAAATTGAACTTTAGTCTTAAAAGATGGAGAAGTATAATTTGATGAGCTAGTTAGTGGTGGGTTACTTTATCCTTGTTTACCAAAGAAGAGTCCTGTTTTCTTGGTTAGAAAGAAAAATAACTCATGAATAAGATTAGGGACTTATCCAAAATCACTATTATCCCTGTCCATGTCAGTGTTTCATTTCCATCATTATGGTGTAAGAGTGGCTCACAGATTTCAGAGAGCTGCAGGCATCTTTCCACTCAGCTTAGTTGGGATTCAACTCTTCATTCCCTGCACACAGGCACTGCTGCCAGCAGAGGGTGCTATCCACTCACTGAGGCTGCTGTCATGTTGGCTCAGTTGAGCAGCAGCTGTTGGGCATGTGCCCTGGGTCTGTGTGAGAGTTTGGGCATGTCTATTTGGTTCACATCCCTAGTGCCCACCCCTTAGACCCTGGCCAGGTTATTGTGTCACTAGGGACTCTGTTCAGTAACAGGAAACTGGGGAAAGTTTAATTGTTTTCTCCTCTCTTTTTCCCATGCAGCTGAACAAAAGGTTCATCCTCAGTTTTCTCCATGCCCATGGGAAGCTGTTTACCCGGATTGGGTAAGTGTGCAGGATGTTTATTTTATTTTCCTACATTACAAGTCATTTTGGAATTTAATATTGTTAGCAACTAGACTGTGTTTGTAACTGAGGGCACAGGGTGTGAATTCTTAGAGGCCTCCACCTTCTCTTCCCTTCACTCACTCCTACTTTGCTCATGAAGTTTGGGAAATATGATTCTCCATCCCTATGTCATCCCTCTTTCTCTACCTTTACTAAAGCCCCCTTTAAACACAGTCTTTTCTCAACCCCCCACTCTTAATCCCTCTGGATTTCTCTTTCCTCTGCCTTCCATCTCAGCCCCCTAGAAGCTCCTTAAAGAAGTCATGCTCATTTCCTGGGTGCAACTGCCAAGGGTCCTCCTTGGGAATAATACTGTCCACTCATTTTCCCTTAAAGAGAAGAGTAGCATTTTTTTTCCCCTCCAACATTTTCTCTTCCTCCTGAATCATACCCCTTCCTTCTATGCTCAGCTTTCTGTACCATATTGCTGATCTCAGTAAATGCTAAAACTTTTCTAGGTTTCACCATCTCCCATGGATTTACATATAAATCTCAGGGAAGGTGCTGTGTGTGCAAAACCCTGTTACTTCACCCATTAAATCCCTGGACAGAGATCAAGTTTTGAGTGTTCCTTTGGTGGATCAGAGTTGTTTTCCACTGTATAAAACTAGCGATCCTAAAGCCTGACTAATGCCTGCACACCAGAGCACGTGTGCGCTGGGTGCCTCTTCCGCCTCGGAGAGGACTAGGTGGCGGTGCTCTTAGAGAGCTCTTCTGCATTTTAATGTTTTCTGACTTGGAGGTTTTATTGTAAGCTACCCTTTGAGGTGCTTTGTTTCGGGATTATAGATCTCACTGTTGTCAGTGTTTTCCTTTCACTTTCTGTCATAACCTTGTAAGTTTATCTCTAATGCTCTAGAAGGTTTTCTTAGTGGGAGAGGCTGAAAGGCTTTGTCCTGCTTTGAAGAAATATTGTTCTATGGATGTTGAACTAGAAAGTATGCTTATTACATATTCATTTATTATCAAACATAGATAAGAGTAACAGTGATGATTATCACAAAGGTAGTCTTTAAATGACTTGGGAAACGAGTACTGCCAATAGATGTATCCCTATTAATAGAAATAAGTGTGAGGAGATTCACTTAGGAAAAGTAAACTAGGTGCATCATTAGCTCCCCTCTCACTACCTCTCCTACCCCCATATAAGTTCTACTTTGGCAGGAGTTTTTGCCTAACAGTGTTGTATCTTAGTGCCTATCACGTACTAGATGCTCAGTAAATATTTGTTGTATGAATGAGTGAATCATTACAGAAATGGATAGACTGTGAAAGATTGGAGAGAAGGATCTAGTTCGTATTCTAGTAGGTAGGTTATAGTAGACCCAGGTCAGTTATTAATGAGGAATGTAAAGCTGCAGTTTCAAGTGGGCAAGATGATATCAGTATCATTTTATAGCAGGAAGTACTATTGTGTTGCACTTAAAATAGCTACTTTGGTTCTTTATCACTTTATCATCTTTTTTGGTTCTCATTTTTTAAATCTTTCTTTCCCTTACTACCTTTTCACTCAGTTTTCCTCTCCTTTTCTCATGTTTGTTCTTTAAATTTTCATGTACCATGTTGCTTTAAGTCAGGGTTTCTCAATCTCTATACTGTTGATATTTTGAGCATTATAATTCTTTGTTGTAGGGAGCTGTCCTGTGCATCGTATGATGTTTAACAGCATCCCAGGCTTCTTCTACCTACTACATGCCAGTAGCATTTTGCCCCCCCTCCGCCCCAATTGTGATAATTAAAAATGTCTCCAGACATTGCCAAATGTTCTCTGGGGGCAAAACTGCTCCTGATTGAGAACCACTGCTCTAGGTATTTGTTAGTTTTTTTAGAGACTTTTGGGACTAAAGAAGTTATAAATCTTGGTCTGGAATGTAGGAATATTTAGGATATATTTTTGTCAAATTAGGCATTAATATTTTTCCCCTTCTTAAAATTCTCACATTTATTTTTATATATTTTTGGAGGAGGCTTGAGAAAGAATCACAGTAATGATTAAAAAACTAGGAAATGATTTATAGAAGAAAAATTAATCTTGAAAAAGTTAAGGTAAAAAAAGGTTTATTTAAAGACAGCTGTTTGTTCCCCTAACTGTGTTTAACTATAAAAGAGTTATAACCAGGTAGTTTTGATTTCTGTGGGAAGACAGCAAGAGAAAGTAGGCTTATGTTGCAGCTGGAGAGATTTGGGTTAGGTGTAAGAAAATTTCACAGAGAAGATGTTCAGGAATTTTCTTTTCTGAAATCCTTTAAAGATTATCTCATTTGTCAGAGATGGTTTGCTGTGGTCCAGTTTATTTTTCAGTATCTCTTCCATCCCTGCATATAACATATTCTCTTGGCAAAAGATAAGGCCAGTCTAGTTGCACCTTCATAAAAAATGAGTTATAGTAGTGTTCACATGAGGAGAACGTATGTAAAGTCTAGGCGCTCCAGCCCCTTGATGACTATTCTTCCTATGCTCCCCTGGAGGTGAAAGAGAATTGAGTCCCATGTTTATTCTGGAAGGCAGAAACAGTAAAAACTTTGCTATTGGAAAAAAAAGTATAGAAGTCTGTAAGACTAGAAAAGCAATGAGCCCAAGCCACACACAACAACATGGACGGTTGCCTAATTACCAAGAAGATGTGAAATGTTGGAGGCGTTGAAAACGAATTAAGAGTGAGGAGTTTGTAATGGGGAGCAGCTGAAGACACATCCACTGTCTGGCCTGCCTTTTGAGAAAAGCCCCAATGTTGCTCTCCAATGTTCATTTTCTCTGTGTCCAGCATTGCAAATTGCATCAGCATATACTTGAATGCCTACTGTGTGCAACCCAAGCCTCCTTATTCTCAACATCCAGTGAAAAAGAGGCGTGGAGTGTTAGATGGAATCAAGTGCCAAAGAACTTATTTTTCACCACTGACTAGTTACAAGACCTTGAGAGTGAACAAGTCAGAGCCTCTGTGGGCTTCGATTTCCTTATCAGTTGTTTAAGTAGAAGCTGCCCAAGGTCCACTCCAGTCCTTATGTTCTGTAGCACTGTGATTTTTTCTCTCTCATGTCTCCCTTGTCACTCAGCTTAGTTTTATTTGTTTGCTACTGGGTTGCATTTGTCTTGTTCAATTTTTTAAAATTAAGAAGTTGAGAAGAGTTAGGAAGCCTGATTCTTTTCTGAAGACAATGTTGTCTAAGCTGTGTTCCTTAGCATCTAAGAGGTTGGGTCTTGCCCCGTTAGTCACTGTCTGAGTCACTCCATGTTGTCTGAAAAACTGGTTTCTTAAAACTGCCATTCAAATGAGATAAGGTGTCTCTAGAGACCACTCCAGAAAGCAGTCCCTTAAGTCAGTGAAATGCATAGCCTGAAAATGACTGTATCTTCTGCAGTTTTAAAGGATTGGGACAAAATCCTCTCAGGCACAGGAAGAGGAATCAGTCAGGGGTGTAGAATGCCCCCTAACAGACACTTGCTTTCCTGATGAGAGGCTGGCAGATCAGACCTGCCTTTGGACTCCACTGAGGGAAGTCAAGAAGCCAGCAGCCTATAGACCAGTGATGGCGAACCTATGACATGTGAACTCATTTTTTTGGTTGATTTTTCTTTGTTAAATGGCATTTAAATATATAAAATAAATATCAAAAATACAAGTCTTTGTTTTACTGTGGTTGCAAATATCAAAAAATTTCTATATGTGACATGGCACCAGAGTTAAATTAGGGTTTTTCAAAATGCTGACATGCTGAGCTCAAAGGTTCGCCATCACTGCTATAGACTTTTGATTTGTGATAAGTAGAATAATTTTGCTTCCTGTTATTGTGTTGGTTAAAGTTACCAGTTTAGTTTTCACTTGCTTGCCTCATCATGCTATTCGCACTGCTTCAAGATCTCTTGGAATTCAAAAACTGATGTATTTATTTTGGACTTTGAATTGTTAAAAATATAATGTTTGTATTTTGATATACTTGTAAAATTATAATTGTTTTCTATAAAAGTCAGTAGTATGCATTGTAGGAGAAATCTTTTTATTGTACATAGTGCTTATTGTAAATCACATAAAATATTTAGAAAACCCAACAAAAAGAAGAAAGAAAAAATTAACCATATTCTCACTATCCAGAGATAATTATCCACTGTTGACATTGGATGTATATTTTTATGTTTTTTCTATATACGTCACACACACACTTATTTTTACAAATATGTGTCAAAAGGGTTCAGATTAAACTACTTTAAAACTTTCCATTTAATATATGTAAAACTTTACCAATATGATTAAAAAATCTAATATAACTTTTAAGAAATAGAATTAAATTTTACAGATGTGCCATCTTAACCAGTATCTGTAACTGGGCATTTTAGGCTACTTCCAATTTTTGCTGTTATAAATTACCATCTTTTTAAAAAATATATATTTTTATTGATTTCAGAGAGGAAGGAAGAGGGAGAGAGAGATAGAAACATCCAGGATGAGAGAGAATCATGGATCAGCTGCCTCCTGCAAGTCCCCCACTGGGGATCAAGCCACAACCCGGGCATGTGCCCTTGACCGGAATCAAACCTGGGACCCTTCAGTTCGCAGGCCGATGCTCTATCCACTGAGCCAAACTGGCTAGAGCAAATTACCATCTTTTTATGCTTTCTCTTCTCCTGCTCCTCCTCCTCTGTTGCTACTGCTATTGCTGCATCTTGGCTAACAATTATTTAGTAATATGTAAAATCTCCTTCTAAAAACATAACATTATAGCTAAGGCCAAAATTTCTTTCAGCTCTCCCCAAGCCCCTGTGCTCTCCAAAGAGATAACACTAGACATCAGGTTATATGATCTTTCAGACCTTTTTACTGCATTTACATATTTACATATATATCCATCAAAGCCATAATTCTATTTTGTGGGTTGTTTCTAAACATAAGTTGTATTCTGTTATTATCTCAGTTTTAGTATGATTTTTGTTCTTTAATATGGGGGTGGAGCAAAGAGGAAGACATAAAACTACTTATGGTAATTTGAAGCCAAAATCAGATAACATTTTAGCTACAAAATTGGGAACCAGAAGCCCCATTATTGAGCTCTGAGGAAGAGTCTTTTATCTGCGTGTCCCTCAGTTACTTCCTGACAAAGTGATTTTGTCTGAGTAGATCCATCTTCCCTCATATCTCAGAACTGAAGTTATTCTAACTTCATTTGATTTTTTTTCTTTCGTTGATGTCGAATGAGTTGAAAGGCGAAGGGAAGATTGAAAAAACAAACAAATAAAAAAGAAGATGTGGACATTTGGCCTGGTGCTCCTTTCAGACCCCAGTCTGACCTAGGGAGCGTTAATGGTTCTGTTTCAATTCCCATCCCAGGGAAGAGGTTTCCTCAGACACAGCTTCGAAGCAAGACTGTCCCACGTGACACTCTGTCATGTCGTTCTGTGTTGGCTCTCTACCGCCTTTCAACACGGAGACACATGGCTCTGAAACTTGCCCAGTGTGGCTGCTTTTCAAGCAGAGTGAACTCTGCTATTCTCGTAATGAGAAGTGCTAGCCCCCCTCCCCACCTCCAACCAGAAAGAGTGCTGCACAGTGTCAGGATTTAAAATGAAACCTTTGTTATAGCCCATGGGGAAAATGGATCCAATCCAGCTCCAAACATATCATTCTGCCATTCCAAACCTACCAAGAGTTTTAATGGTTCTGAAACATTTTAGAGGAGGAAAAAGAGGGGTTTTTTGGTGGGTTTTGTGTGTGCGTGTGTGTTTTATATTTTTTTTGTGGGGGATGGGGCACTTGAAATGGCATATGGGGAGGTGGGAGCAAATGCATGGTATGTTTTATGCCAGTGAAAATGAAGACAGCTCAGCAGAGAAGGGAACTGGAATATAAACTGTAATTGACCCATAGTTGTGGCATGATTTCTGGGTATCAGAAGGTCAGTAATAAGAGTTGCCATCAAGGGCAATGAATAAAGATTGTCAAAATGCCAGAAATCTCTGGAGTTTGCTTAACCTGGGGAGGGTCCTACTCAGTGGGGAAGGGATCATGGTTTGGGTTACACTAGAAGCACCTTTCTCTAGGACTTGAAATTGTTTTGTCTTTTTTGAGAAGAATTTCCTTTCCTGTGGCTTTTCAGAAGCTGTTTATTAATCCAGCCTGAAGCTCTCCTCACCCCATCACCCAGTGCACTACAAACATTTTTTGGGGGGGTCGGGGGGGGGGGGATTGAGGATGGATAAAAGATACTTTGTTGACCACGAATTGTTCAGCATCGCCCTAAGGCTCAATGCGCCTGGCTTCTTTCTCTAGCACCAAGTTTGAATTTGCTTTTCCTTTCTGACAACTTCAGCTGTGGTTTGTTCCTATTGCCAGAGGAGCTCCAGGCATGCACCACTGTTTGGGATCCAGTGGCCACATTTGGCAGTCAGCGGTTTGAATGACCTCTCTTTAGGAGCCCTAGGTCACTGGCTAGATTTCTACCTCCCTACATTACAGGCTCTTCCTGTATTAGGAGTGGCAGTTGGCCAGGGCATTATATTTCCACTGGCCTGAAAACATGCAGACCTTGATGAGCAGAGTCTTGTGAGAGTGAGGAGGACAGCAACACAGGAAAGGCTGAAACAGATCATTGGGGCCCTCAGTCTGAGAATTCTTCCAGGGGAAGTATGGGACCCTCAGGTGGAACAGTTGGTGAGACAGTGCCTGAGAAGACGGCAGCAGAAACCAAAACTGTTTCTGGTTTCCTGAAGTAAAGCCTTGAGTAAAGAATCTTTAGATTTGTGAACCAGAGAGTTTGGGGAATATGTAGGTCTTAAAGCTTAAAGGAAATTTGTTTGCTATTTAGAAAAACCAATTGTTTCAGAGAGAAACTTTGATTTCATTTCAGCCTGAATCCAGTTATTGCCAAGGGTTAGGAAATAACATACCAAAGCATAATAACTCATAGCAATTTATCCAAAATTGAGCTGATTTATTTCCAAACCTCGAACACTTCTTTCTCTTAAATTTGTCCACAATCTTAGGATTGTAGGAAGGTTTGTGAAAGTAGCAAGGAGACACTCTATGCGTTAGTTGTCTGCTTTTAGAGAGAAAGAGAGACAGAGAGAGAGAGAGAGAGAGAGAGAGAGAGAGAGAGAGAGAGAGTGTGTGTGTGTGTGTGTGTGTGTGTGTGTGTGTGTACCAGTGCACTTGGGGATGTCCCTCACTGATGGGCTGGTGTATTTGTAGGATGGAGACATTCCCTGCAGTGGCTGAGAAGGTGCTCAAGGAGTTCCAGGTATTGCTGCAGCATAGTCCCTCTCCTGTTGGAAGTACTCGCATGCTGCAGCTTATGACCATCAACATGTTTGCTGTACACAACTCCCAGTTGAAAGGTAAGGCATGTTCACTTTCTTTATCTAGACAGATAAAGATTAATATAGCTTTTTTTCCTATGGTACCATACCACTAATTACCCCCATCTCTCTCTCTCTCTCTCTCTCTCTCTCTCTCTCTCTCTCTCTCTCTCTCTCTCTCACACACACACACACACACACACACACACACACACACCCTTCCCCACCATTGCCTCTCACATCCTTAATTTGCTCTCTGAAATCTGTATGACTCTCTAGTGCTTGGGTGGGATGGAAGGAGGGAATCATGGGTATAGAGCTTAATTTGCAAACCCAGAGATGCTGTTGCACATCTGGCCATGCTAAAGGCAGCAGCAAGGCCTCTTGGAGTCTGCAGATCCAGAGCCTCTCCCAGGGGAGAGGCATTGCTGAAATGTTTCATCGCAGAGACCATACGCTTGGCAGGGACTGGGAATAGCTGTTTCTGGACTCATGTACCCTGTTTGTTCAATATGGAAAAGTCTAGTTCCCTGTGGGATATCCCTTGTGGGAGCCTGCCAGGGAGTAAGAACAGAGAATTGATGAGCTTTGGTGACTCAAATTGGAAGCACAAAAATCACCAGGCCCAGAGTTTGGCTAACATACTGGTGTGTATTCTGAAATGCTTTTTGGAACACTGAGGTTTTTTGAGGCAGGGGATGGGGTGGGAGGGGGCAGAGAGATGCTCATTGGCAGGATTTTTAAATGTTCTGATGACCAGGTCACAACCAAAGGATGTTACCAGGATCCCGTCCTTTCCCTTCCCCTTTCCTGTTTCCCCTTCCTTCTTCTCCTTTTCCTCTTCCTCCTACCCCTTTCCCCTTCCCTTCCCTTCCCATCTAGGTAAGAATATGTGGTTTAACTTGATGGAAATATGTAATATAGGAATAACATTATTTTGTGTTTGTTTGTAAGGGAGATTTGTTCCATGATGCTAAAAAAATTGTAATTTAAAGCATTGACAGAGAGTGAAGTTTGGTTTCCTGGCTGAAAGGTTATTATCTGAAATGCCAAGAAATAGGAATTGCCCCATGGAGACTCCATTGTAAAACAGACCTGGTGTTTCTGGACAGGTTATTACTAGTTCTCTTATTGCACTTTTTCTTTTCTTTAAAAAAAATGTTTATTGATTGGGGAGGGGGAGAGAAAACATTGATTTGTTGTTACACTTATTTATATATTTGTTGGTTGCTTCTTGTGTGTGCCCTGACTGGGAATCGAACTCACAACCTTGGCATATTAGGATGATGCTATAACCAACTGAACTACCCGGCTAGGGTCTTATTGCACATTTTCTTGGTGCTTTCTCTTACTCTGAAATTGATTTATTTTCCTTCCCATTTATTTTTGAGGGTTCTACATTAGCTTGCTGATGAGTGGGTATGCCACAATTTCCCTTGAAACTTGGTTCTTCCTGGGACTCTGTAAAGCCCTCTGCTAGTCTGTCTGGGTTTTCAGTCATATCTGATCTTCTCCGCTCAAGTTGGCTGCTTACAGCATTTAGAATTCCCAGCAGAAGGCAAGATGCAGAGGCTGAGGTGCCATTTTGAACTTGGCTAATTATTCCTGAGAACAGCTCCGAGGAAGCATGCTGTCCTGGGGGACAGGGATGGTTTCCAGGAAGGAGGAAATAAAGTTTGTCAATTCTGTCCTGGTAAGGCTGTGAAGTCCAAAGGGGCAGGAGATTGATTCCTTCTTCATGACTCTGCTGGTTTAGCTACCAAGTGGGAAGCTCAGTGGACTCAGGAAATGAGGCCTCCTGAGGTGCCCTCCTATTCATTGTCCTGCCTTCCTCTAACCTCAACCCACAGAGTTCAATGAGCTGCTGTCACAGAGCTGCAGCCTCGGCCAAGATATTTTTCTACCATCAAGTGACCTGTAATCTTGGGAGGTGTGAATGTAAAGGACCTGCGGCTCTAGCCTGTGAAGTATCTGTTGTCAGCAGCCTCTGCTCCATGAAAAGGAACACCTTGGCTTTTTCGTAGGCCACCAGTGAGTCCTTTTCTTGTAGCTGTTGTTTAGTAAAGGTGAAAAGATACAGACCAAAGGAAGGTGAGATGGTGAGAACAGAGAAAGAAGGAAATAGGTGGTTTCCCCAGTTGAGGCCAGGGAACTATTTTAGTACTCTTCTCCATGGTTGTTGTATGAGGACCGGCTAGCCAGGAAGGACATGCCAAAGCCTGTGCCTGAGACCCTGCTACTCATTTCTGGCCTTGTCCTTTGCTCACCTCCATGAGGCAACTGGGGCCAAGAGGAGGATGATATGAGGTGGTCAGAAGTTCCTAGGGTGTTTCAGGGATAAACAGCCTGGGCCACAGGATATAACACTCAACTAGGACAGAGAGCTCTGTGGACATGCTGCCAAGTACCCGGTGTGCAGCTGAGGCGGCCGTCCAGACCCCACTGTGTGGGCTGCCATTGGGAGAGGGGTGAGCAGAGCACACAGCGGGGCTGGTTGGTGGGAAGATGCACTTTTCCATTTCCCAGCATATGAGTCATCTTCTCTGGGCCCCTGTGCTGTGCTTGCATGGACAGTGGCAAGAAGGGGGTGTTGTGGCTGAGCAGCAGCATCTGTGCCGGGGGTGGAGAAGGAAGGGGGTTGGGGAGAGGGTAAAGGTTTAAATCCTTCACTAATCAGCAGCAGTTTGAATCACATTTTTATGAGTAAGGAAGTGATAAATCAGCCCTGAGTGTTCAGCCCCAAAGTCCTGTCAGCCAGTGCCCTTCTAAAGTCTTCTCTCCAGGCCACTCTGCTTGCTGTCAGAGTCGCCAGCCACCCAGCTGTGGGACCCTGACTGTCTGAAACCAGGAAGCAAGGGCCTGACGCTGCTTGGCCCTCCCAGGTGCTTGGGGTCTGTGGTGATTTGGCAGTCAGTGCAAGTTACAGAACATCTGGGCCATCATTTTTCTTTCCATTCCTTCTTGGACATATCCTTCTGGGTGGGTGTTTGTATCAGTCAGTTCCTGGACTCTGTGGAGAAGGAACGTTCCAGCATGAAGCAGAGGTGATCAGTGGTCCCCAAGGCAGTCGAGGTCCTCTCAATCTGTGCCTGGGCTTTCCCTGTAGCTGTGGTCCTAAAGCATATGATTTGGAGAGCAGCAGGGATGTCCTTACTAAAACATATGTCCTTTATGATACCCCGAATTCATTTTATTTGTGTGTGTGTGTTAACCTTGTGGAACTGTCTTTTTTTCAAATTACCTATAATCCGGGGGTAGGAATGATATTATCACTTTAGTGTTATTACTTTTCAGATGTGTTTTCCTTGTCAAGAGAGACAGAGAACTGTTTAAAAGCTTTGGACACCTCACAAGACAAAATGGAGGAAAAAGCTTAGATGGTGGTGAGAGAAAGGCATCTTTCCCCTTTTCCTAGGTTGTAGTTTTCCCCAGAGCTCAGGGAGGCAGAGGTTGTGAGGTCATATTTGTCCCCCTGCCCTTAGGAGACAATAAGTTGAGTTATGCCTCATCATTTTACCAACTAAACTTTCCAGTCTCAGCAGTGATCTTAACACTCAGAGCTATTGGTGGGGGAGCTATTACCTCCTCCTCTAATGAATGGGCCCTATGCAAAAATCCCCACATTAGTGCGACTATGAAGAATCTAGAATCCTAGTACTCTATAGTGAAGTGGTTGGGGACAGATAAATTTGAGGGATGTTTGGGGTCCCTCAGCATAGTGCCTGGGATTTATTAGGCACTCAGTAATTGTTGAATGTATGGGTGAAGAAGGCAAGCCAGCTCTCATTGAATAGTATGTTTTTTACCTGGCCTGTGTCCAACATTATCTTGTGGTGGTGATAGGTGGTTCCCAGAGTGATGTCACAATTGGTAATCGCTCTATGGCATTCCCAAGCCTGAAGGGAGAAATCAGGCCTTCTCCACGTGCCTCAGCATTTAACACTTCAGTAGCCATCTGATTGGCTGACGTGATGCTGGAGGATGAACTGTTGATCTAAACCACAAGTATGCCAAGAATTTTAATTTTTTAAAAATTCTGTAATTTAAGGAAATAAAACTCTAGTTTTTGAAAAGGAATAATTAAAGCAACATTTGTGGTAGAGCATCACTAAAAGCCCATTGCATCCCCCATCTGTGCCCAATTTGCTCCAATCTGCCCTCCCCCCTTTTTTTCTTTTTCTTTGTTTTTCTCTTCCCCTCTTGCTCTCTCTCCCTTTTTAAAAAATATGTTTTATAATTCCTGGAATCAAAACCATCTCATGCACACACTGTTTTATTTTACTGCATTATTGGATTATACTTCCTATAAATCATTGGATGTTATTCATTGGCCACCACTGGAATAACTTCCCTTTTCTGTGCCCTGGCCCTCCGTTTTTCCTCCTCTACCAGTTCATAGAACAGGGCTGTATTTCAGCCTTGCAGAGAAGCCCTGGTGGCAGCAAGAGGGCACCCAAGAGACACTTCTTATGTGTGCCATTGGTGTTTCCTGCCTTTAGGGAACATTTAGGGGCTGGGATTGAGGCAGGGCTAGACTGGCATTCCTTTCATAATCGTTTATGCTTGCTTTTATGGTTGGTTAGTAATCCTGAATTGCAGGAGGTAAAGTGCCACATGTGCTCCTCCAGAGAGATAGAGAATCATAGCTGTCTATATGGGACCGATAGAGCTTAACTCAGATGTGTGGGGACCTCACACCTACATGGCATTGTTGTGTATGCAGGTTGACTCGAGTTGGGAAGTTCCATTCACAACCAAAATTTCTTTGTCTTAAGCATGCAGCCGCCTTAGAGATCTTCAGTAAAGCGATTTGCTCCTCTGTGGCAGTTCACTTCTGTCTGAGTCTCTTACCCAAGCAGAATGTATGAAGTGCCTAATCCTCTGCTTGTCAGAATAGTTGTACAGGAAATCCACCTTTCATAAGAGGTTAAGCTTGAGTTTAGCTGCATAAACTGGCCCTCTCATTCCTCCTCTGTATTTCTGGTGATAGAACCCTTGGGCTTTTTCTCCTCAAGGATCCATGGGTAGATTTCTACAGG